AAGCTGGATCTTACATCAATGTTCCCATACTCATCATTTACCAGTATGTGTGCTTTTTGACTCTTTGGGCATTTCCCCTTTACTGCAGTTCACAGTGTCGGTAAGAATAGGTCATTTGCACCATGCAGAAGATCTCGAGACGATGGTTTTGGTCTGTTTTGAAAACAAATGAACCCTCTAGCAGAAATGTGACGTTGGGTTATGAAAACCGCTAGCTTGAGACCGAGGACCTGGTGCAGGGAAAACAATAAGACCCCGATAGGACGGATGTGATATTTAGATGAGTGACGACGGAGTTTTGTAGTATCCCAGTTGGGAATGATGGTGGGGGTTCGAACCACGGAGCGAATAGAAGCAGTATAATCCGCCAACTGGTAGTCAAATGGACAACGTTCTTTGACTTAGCCTGTGCAGTCTCGGTTATTTGGGTCAGAGATCGAACCTGTGGGCTACATCTTTACAGTAATGACCAAATGATTATTGTCGAACAACTAGGCATACTACCTGATATATTTCGACAGAAACAGATTAAATGATTGAAAAGCAATGTATCCGTTGTTGTAAGTGAGTAAAACACACGAAGGAAAAGATATGGAAGCACCTGGGTACAGATATTTCATCTTTTTGGCTATTGAGGGAAGGAAGGGGTAGATGAAAAAAACAGAAAGAAAGACTAGCACGACTGGTTGCGGGACAGTATCTCAGGTCGTTTTTGACTATTTTGATATACTGATGGTAGATTATGCCGCAAATTGAGTCCAGCTGTTCGCTTCATCTCAGTCGCGCTCCGATAATGTGATCTGCTACTTGTTGGGATGTGCTTGATATTGAAAATCCAGAGCTAATCAGATGGAGAACAGTTCGACCACCGCACGAAACCATTCAACATAAAAGCATTCAAGCGTCTCAATTGACAAACGTTTCGACTGTTTCAAATCAGATTCTGATCAGGCAAATAAGAACAAAAAACGGCATTTGAATTGACTGCATGCTACCCTCAACACCTGTTCTTGTCAGTTGAAGCAGAAAACGAAAATGGGGTTGCATCACAAGAGGCACAAAAGGGATAATAACCACAGTCGGGATTACCACATCCGGTAGGCCGTAATTCTATAAAGAACAGATTTGAATTTGGTCAGTTGGTCGGGAGCAAGTAACCGCGAACAAGTTATTTTTGCTGCCAGTGATAAAGATGCCGGAAGATGATCGAAACAGAATGTAATCATGGAAACGACGTGAATCGTTCACCTCGTGATAGATAGGGTCTCAACAAACCGTTTCGGTGGGGGGGGGTGATGGTAACTTTACTCTCTCAGTACTTTTTGACGGTTAGGTCCATTAAAGTGATATTTGAAGTGAGATGTCATTTGTTACGGTTCAATTATTTTGTGTCCGGCCGAAAAGATCCATTGAAAAAGACATAGTAGATAGACGCACGAGCGAGCGCGTATACACGCAAAAATTGAACTATTATTGATCAGGAATGCTATTCTGTCAGTCCGTTCTACTTCGTTCCACAAGCTTCATCGGGGCCGATAGTGCAAAATGCACAGGGAGATGTGAATTGGATTCATCCATCACTGTCTAGGCAAGCCGTTGACGATCGTGTTTTTCGCTGTGCCGGTCTCACTGATGTTTCAGTTTAACTGCTAGCGCTTCGGCTCTGTGTAACAGGAAAATACGACGGGATCTGACTGTCCAATCTGCTCATCACACAGTCCATCTACGAAACCTCGTTTATCTTGTCGACGGCTTCCAGAGTTATGACTCGGTTAGAAACATTTCAAACACGACTACGCGTGGTAAGGGGTAAGTAGGGTTGTGTTGCTCATCTTTTAGTTATTCGTAGGACAATTGTCATCTGACTTCAGGAAAATGTTTGCAAAAGAATGGTTCCTGCACGGTAACGCTGCAGTTGTTAATTGGTTCTATTGATATATCGATTGAACTAATTAGTGAATTGTTAAGAATACGTCCTTCGGGTGCAAGAAGCATTTCTTGATATGAATTGACCACCTGTTGATCCATAATACAGTAGTATGCACTTTTTCCTATCAATGTAGTGCATTTGTTCAGCAATGCTGTCGTCAGCCGTAGTTAGTTTACTGTCTACCACCGTCAACAGTGTACTTCTGCGGGCTGGTTATGGTTGTAGTCATTCCGGTTAACGATCTGATAGACCAAAAATGATGGCAGATTAAAAAAACAGCATGCTTATAAACCAAATTTGTGTGGATAGTGACTAGATGTCTGTGTGCCATAGTTTATGATACTCAGCTTTATCAACAGGTGTATTTAAACGCTAATTGGGCTGATCCCGATGTGTACAATGAGCAAGCCTAAGGCAAGCGATTTTGGTAACCATACATTCATACCGGGTCGCAGTTTATCCACCCTTATCCATCTTCAAATGGCTGCCCGCTTCGTCAAACATCGCAGGCCAAGGAAGCTTACTGTGGATGGCATGTGTCACACGGGATCGAATCACCGCGAGCAAAAGTAGCGCAGAACTTGATTTAGTGCGCGACGGTAACTGTTTTACCGTTTACTTTTGGAAATTGGGAATTGTAACGTAAAGATACATTTCTATGATGCTTCCTTTCGAGGAAAGGTACGATTAACTGACTAGAAGCATTGAAAGTGAAAGGGATACGTATCGATTACGAACCATATATTTCACTTGAAATAATCCCTCTAGTGAAAAACACAGATTTTATGGCATTCATACTTTCCAGTACTGATTGGAGAGGAAAATGATCGTATTCAAAAGTGGAACGCGGTAGCAGTCGTTTACTTTAAACCGAACCAAATATGTATACAAACACACAAGCGTTTATTTCCACTTACCATTTGACATCGTCTGTGTGTTCCAAATAGTGTCGCTGACATTGTTCCTCGATATTGTACAGAACCACGGTGGCTGCGACAAAGTAGATGATTTCTCCCGTCGGTAAATAGTAAAGATTGTTACGACAATCTCGACCGCGGTAACCGTAGCTATGCGACGTGGTTCAAAGTTAAGGATAGGGCAATCCCCGAGAGAACAGAACTACTAGTGACTGCTAAAAGGGCGTTGTGGGACAGTTAGCACGAACAGAAAAACCTCTCAGCATGAATAATGGTATCAGAATTGGTCAACGCAAGTGTTAAGCAAGTCGGATGCTTGAGGATTCCAGACAACATAATAAAGTGATATTAAGCAGTATTGCGCATCAAGATAAATCTTTTTCGGAGGAAAAGCATGAATTGTTATTGTCCCACAAATAAAGTCAATATTCGTGTGAGGAAGACATATTCAGCAAGAAAGTTGATGTTTTTAATAAATCGTTTGACAGAGAACGCAATCACTGTGATCGATTGCATAAACATAGCATGGCAAGTACGCATTTGACTACGAGCATGTAGTCAACACATGGGATTATTGACGGATGAGTGGTGCTCATTTAGTGTTGCACAACAACTGAAATTTTCGGTGATGGCATTTCGGTGTTTATTTGTTACATCAGACAGGAGAGATCGGTTAAAGTGATGCGAGGATGGGATTGACAATAAAATACAAATGTCCCGGAGTACCGAACCGAAACTACGAGTACGAAAAGAGTAGACAAAATATCCCACATTGCACAGCTTTACGAGCCTTCATTTAGCGAATTCATATCTTACGTCTTGTGGCCCTGGTAAGCGAGTTCCGCTCTGTGTGATCAATTCGTCATCCGCGGAGTGCTACGCATGTACGCTCGCGAGATTACATTCTGACACTCCAGTGAACCCGGGTAGCGAACAAAGACGGACAGCATCTGCTCAGAAGTGCTCTGTAAAAGAATACCCCACACCGCACTCGCAACCAACTTCATTAGGAGTAAACTATACACAGAGTGGAACTAGGGCTGAGAACAGCCTTCAACCAGACTTGAGAGAAAACCGATTTCGTGACATGCGTGGATGACGTCAATGAACAAACGACGGCCACATAACTCATGTTCGCGTCCCACAGTTAAATTGACGGTTTTGTTCAACTGGCACAGAACAATTGATTCTTTATCTAGATAATGACCAAATGAATGGGACTGTACAGGTGTTTGTGAATAAACGCACGGAGGTCGTGTTAACAGGGTGTTTTGCATATCCATTATTGTTGATGCATGTGTGTTGATGCGGACTGGATCACTGTTTTTTTTCGGAGGTTCAATTCTTCCTCGTCCCTCTTGTAAATCTGCCGTTAGCTGCACAGGCACTTCGGTGTTCGGAACTCAAGACGATGTGTGCGTGAAATGACGGATTGAACTCGTAGGAAATCGAAAATGGGCAAGGCAACTTCGAGAACGACGTTATTCCGTAGACGATAAACCGGAAGAAAGAGCATCGAACTGACTGAAAGTATGACGTAGTTGTCTGGGAGGGGGAATTGTGGTCTTAAATCAGTCAGATTTAGGTCATTGTAGTCCAGGCCACCCCCCCCCCCACTCAATCTGAGGGATTGGTTTCATTCATTTTACTCACGTATAACCAGAACAGGTGACCGTCAAAAACGACACCGGACGAGCAGAGTAGTGAGAATAAATCAGACTCGGTGTAGCAGAGAAGGCACGTGCGAGTAACAGAAGGGCAGAAGAACAGTGGAAACCCGATAAACACTTGCAAACATGGTTGGGCCAGTCGACCTCGCCGACCTAAAACCAACGTACGTGTTTGTGTGATCGACGTAAGTAGATGGTGGCCGGCAGAGGGGAACGGGAACACAAACCAAACTTTGACATGTCCGGACTGGCACGGTCAGTGAGTCAATGCGGATTGGCGATCCAATCGAATGACCAAGAGACAATTAGTCGAATGATGATGACTCCGTCCTGAAAGGACATCTGGTAACCTCTACCGGACTTCTGCTCAGTCATTCCCGTTTGGTTTCTTTTACCTCGGCATGAACAGAGCTGATTCATCGCAGCCATGCTCAGAATGATAATATGACTAACTAACTGACCACTGACACGCTCCAATGTGTCATCTTTTTAACACTACTGTTTTACCCAAAACGTTAAAATTACAGGCAGCTAGTGAGAAATC